GGACGTGGTTTCAGATCTGGACACCTCTAGTCTTCCACGAACATAAAGTTGCCTACTTTATCTAGTCTTGGCCTTCCTCTATGCCTTAAACATCTTATTAAGCTTAGTTTTAGGGTTTTAATCCCTTTGAGGCCTTGCATGCACAAAAAGTTAGCAACTTTACGTGATATCTTAGTCCTTGGAGGCTAGATTTGTAGTTTGGGGCCTTGGAGTCGAATGGAAAGGTCTGAACAAATTAAGACAGGAAAACTCGATGAGTTACTTAGCTAAATCGACGAGTTGGATAGGGTTTACCCGCCTTCTGGATACTAAGTGAACTCGGTGAGTGAGTGAGATGACTCGACGAGTCGACAAGGGTTTTCCTGGTCTTTTGAACACTAAAGAACTTGACGAGTTACTTGGGTAAATCGGCGAGTTGTCTCGAACCTTGCACGATTTTCTGAGATATGAAAGAACTCGACGAGTCAGTAGATGAACTCGACGAGTTGGGTCAACATGGACTGTTGACCTCGACCGTTGACTTTGACTTTTACCATGGTTGATCAAGTTTGACTTTTGAGGGTATTTTGGTAATTTGGGATTCTAATGGAATCAGTCATATGGTGGTTACATGCAGTGGATTTTGGAGCTGTGAGTTGGGATTCGATTTATCGGTTCAACACTACTTGTGAGGTGAGTTCTTCTCATTATACTAACATGGTAGAAGGCACCAAGGTCGGCCCTTTTGGATTGTTATCCTGGTTATCGCATGATGATATGCTTAGTGATATGCTAGATCTATATCCTGCTATACATGATGATGCTATGTTTAGTGACCTATTAGGTCGGTATCCTAGTATATAGGATGATGCTATGATTAGTGATCTGTTAGATCTGCGTGCCTGTTTATACATTCTAGCTAGCGTTTGATGTCTATGTGTTGATTGTATGTGTGGGGGTGGATTGAGGCGGTCTTATTTTGTGCTATAGGCCAATATGCCCAAGGCGGCCTGAATAGAATGATGGCCCAATGGGGCGTACCAGTCAGGCCGAAGGCCCGAAGAATGGTCCAGACAGGCTGATGGCCCGGTAGGGCGGACTAGACATGCTAAAGGATTTGAGAGTGGGCCAGATAGACAGAAGGCCCATTGAGGGTGGTCCAGTCAAACTGTACACTCTATATGCATGTTGTTTGTTATGATATTGTTATGGTTTGTATGTCATTGGTATTTTGGGGGAACTCACTAAGCTTCAGGCTTACAGTTTTGGATTATGTTTCAGATACTTCGGTTGATCGTGGGAAGGCGAAGGCATGAACGTGCACCTCCTAACATTTTTATGATTTTGATTTCTGGGATACTCTGATATGAAACTATTTTGAAAACATTTTGTGATAATTAATGATTTTTGGATGCTTGAAAAAGCTTAAATTTTTATGAATTTTATGGATATTACAGATATTGAGAGGGTAAAGATCAGAGCTTGTATGCAAGAGATATAATTTTTCCAAAATCATTTCTATGCACACATAGTGTGCGCCATGCACGACGTATACTCTAACCCGGATTCAGGAAGATTACAGATGACATGACCTAGCGAGAGAATGACACATGGCGACTCTCGGATGGAGCCATGATGTACGTGCATGATGGCACCGATATTTGCACCACGCGCACTCAAAAATTCGGGTATAAATAGGAAGGTACACAAACCCATTCTGCACACCCTCCATACTGATTGGATTAATACGATAAGATCAATAGATTCAAAACAGGTAAAGGAATCAAACACAAAGAATGGAGATCAAAGTTGCGCTGAATGATTAAAAAGCACTGCCTTAGAAGATCTCGATGAAGAACTTCTACTGTAAAGGCAGTGTAGGGTTACAAGATCATTCATTGGAACACGGAGCATGCATGCACTATTTATACTCTAACTCTAACACAATAAGGAACCGGGTGGACAGGCCCCGCCCGTTACAAAATGTTGAATAATTACAACACAATAATTGACACAACACAATATAACCCCAACAATGTCCCCCTTTGTGTCAATAAGGAAGGTAGATCTTCATTGCTTTTGGCGCTTCTGAACTGTAAAAAGTTTTGGCATTATGCCCAGCAAGGTCTTGCGAACCTGGATGTACCAATTGATCATATTCAAGTAACATTTCTTGTCTCCGGCACTGTTCGCTTTGTTCTGACCCATGATCTCCATAATGTATTGTAGGCATGAGGTGGAGTAAAGATGTTTATCATCCAGATAGAAGCACATTTTGTGAAAATCAGCATCAGATCTTTCTCGGATTTGAAGTGTCATACACCATCCATCCTTTCATATTCTGCCCAGCTCAATTTTACCAAAATCTTTTGGAGCTTCCTTGAGAACACTGTTGGGCTCCTTCGGAGAACTGCTATTTTCCAACCTCCTGGATATATGAGATCAGCATCCTTTTAAGATGTACAATGATGGGTAAACTCGAACACTAAACTTGCAGCTCCACGAGCCACTTTGAAACCAGTATTTACAAAGCTTTCAGTTTCAATTGGGCCAAAAACCTTCACATCCATTATCTTCTTTGAGCTCCAGGTTTCGTATTGTGGCTTCATGTGCTTTTGGTAAAAACAAAAGAGCATCTGATCAGCACCATTATCAGAAGGAGGAATGTTCGCAACTTTTTCGAAGCAGTGAAACTGGAATGCCTTCGGAGTAATCGGCAGATCAAGTTGCGAATTTGAACTATTTTCCAATTTAAAAGACACAACCGACTATAACCAATACACGCTCGGATTGTCAATTGCTTCATTCATTATACTCTCCAAAGTCCACAAAGGAAGTAAAAGCTTCTGAATTTCCAGAGTGACTTGAGCTTCTTGAGCAGCCTTCTCTCGTTCTTCAGTTTCCCTAGCAACTCGCAAGTTTTCATCAAGTTCAACATCGCGAGATTTACACTTCAGCTTCGCATTTTCATCCTCTTCCTCATCATCGTCATCTATAACCTTTTCTTTTCCTCTTGAAACCAAATCTACATTATCCTTCGGTTCATTTGACTTTGTCTTTGCTTCATTTTCATCACCACTACCAGTTGATTTCACAACACCATAAGTTCTTGCAGGTTTCACCCCTTGTTTTGGAATAGAAGATTCCGAAACACCTTCAATCCTATCAAGCATGGAGAAGATTGGCTTCATTTTCTCAGCCCGATGCTGACGAATAGACACAATGAGAAGTGAACTGCGAGTTTTGATAAGAATGTGCAAATGAGCATTCACATCTGCCACACAGCTCTTAATCATTGCTTTCTCAGACTTGAGCTCAGTGATCTGTTGATTCGCACGAGACAACTTCACAGACATAATCTTTAGTTTTTCTTCTTTGTGCGTAAGTTGATCCATGAGTTTGTTCTCTATTGCCAGATTTGCTTTAAGTTTTTCAATTTGGGAGGAGATGGAGGTTTGTAACACGAAATTATCAGTTTGAATCCCGGTACGAACCGTATCAAGAGCGTCTTTCTCAGTGCGAAGGGTAGATCCAAGACTTGTAATTACTTGATTTGCTTTGGCAGTGTTGGACTCAAAAGAATTCTGAAAAGTACTCATGAAGGATTGAACTTTTGAAACTAGTTTATCGACTTTTTCGGTCGTTTCCTTGCAGAAGATCGATGAATTCTCAATAGATTTATTAGCTTTTTCAAGGTTCGCAGTATGCACCTTCGTCATTGTCTCGAGCAGAGCTTTGTGAGCTGTAATAGAGTCATCTGAGCTGGAGGAGGATTTGGATGACTCAATCAAGGTATCCAGCTTTTGTTAAAGAACCTTAAACTGCCGGGTGGTTATGGGAGCATCATCATCACTAGATTCCTGAACATGGAAGGGATTGTAGTGAAAATCTTCAAAGTCGTCCTGATCATCACCGAACACCATATTCAAATTATCTATTCGTAGTGGTGAGAAAGTATAGAAATCGGCACCAAAGGATACACCCGAAGTACCTGCCCCCGTATCAGATACGTCGACATTTACCTACCGTGTTGTTGCTGTTGTAGGTGTTGCCGTGGAATCTGTGAAGAGTGGAGTGGATTGTGCCACGGTAATCTGTGGTAGTGAAACACCCACAGATACAGGTGGACATGGAGCGATTGTGATAGGAGTTGTAGAAGAAGGGGCAGGAGAAAGTGGACCAAAATCCTGGAAAAAATCATCTGTTAATGGAACGGAAGTTGGCATAGAGAATGATACCTCAGGATTGGTTTGAGTAGGAGTGGGTTGTGAAACCATATCTTGTGAAGTCGATGTAGTGTCGTCATGTTCGTGCTGGTCCTGCTCTGGTATGCGAACGTCAGAGATGGTATGGAACTGCGAATCGTCCTCATCACTCGGAGTGGGAGTCCTTGGCCTGCGAGCGAGTCCCTTAATTTTCTTCTTATTTGGAGTCTCAGCTGGTTCGGAGGGTCCAGTGTTCGGTTTTTGGTTTTCATTTTCCCCACTTTTTAGGCTTATTTGCTTCTTCTAAAGCCTTCTGCATCTTCACAGTTAAAGGACGAGGACTGGATGCTGGAAATCTGCGATAATCAGCGATAATTTCACTCCTTGTTGTAACATTGCAAAGCATGGTCTCTGGAAGAGATCCGATGAATGTGAATCTTGAACTGGCTGACACTATAACATTTGAAGTGTGAAACTCTTCAAAAGCAAAATCAGATCCAGTCACTCTCTCTAAGAAGCTCTTGAAAAGCAGGGTAAACAGACCATTCCACATAGGAGGAAGGTTAGGCTTCTTGAACTTAGATAAAATTGAAACATGATCTTTGTACCCCATTTGGTAGAACATCTCCAGAGTTGCTGAAGAGGAGATAGATTGAGGATCGACCAAATTCCGAGAATCAGAAAGCCCTAGCAACCGACTAAAACGGGCCTTGGTGATGGTGGTTTTGACAGAACCAACCTCAAACTTAATAATCGGTCCACTTTCCTCATAACGAGCAGTAGAATAAGCTTTGGATAGAAGAGCCAAAGGAACATTCAATTAGTGGTTGGAGAGTATCGCATGCATTCAATCAGTGGTTGGAGAAAAGCGTTGTACTTGGATAGATGAAGGTTCAAGATGAGATTCTGATTGGCCATGATGCCTAGTATTGTTGATTGAGCCATTTGTTCATCGACAGAAGAAGAAGCATCCATTGATGCAGTGGAGAAGATGATGAACAGTGCTTGAAAGAGAAAAGGGTTTTCTTGCACCGGAAGGTTAATTACTTTGAAAGTGGTGAATAAAAGTGAAGCGTCAAATTTCCTTATATACAGTACGATAGGTGAGAGAAAACCAACGTTTGGCGCTCCAAAATCCCTATAAAGTAGCCTTGAAAAGTATGACAGGTTGGCGTGTGACAGGCGTGTGTCAGGCGGCGTGATGTCAACGTCAGTTTGAATTTCCCACATGCCATGATCTTAATCTTATCCATTAAATATCGCCGTTTCAGTTGCTCACTGCTCACTATCACAATTGATCACCATTTCATGTACTCTGAATCTGAAAATGACCATTCGGACAACGAACCAGACTTTTGAACATCACCAGGATCTTTGTGCAAGAGTGTGCCAAAGATAAAGAAATGAAGCAAGTTCTCTATGGGATTCTAATGATTTCATTAAAGAGATGAAATAGTTGGATCCCGGGCAACGATCTCTTCCTTCTGAGTCAAGAGAGACTCTGAAGTGCCTGTGTGGCGTCCCGTTGAATTACGATAATCTGTTTATTGAAAAATAGTGAAAGGCATCTTTTTCAATAAGGCTTATGGGTGGCTTCATCTTCAACCAAACTCAGAAACTCAACATAAGTACGAACGTTTGGAAGAAGTACTTGTCTGACCAGCGTAGCCATAGGAACAAGTATGCTTTGGAATTAATTTGAGTGGCTGGATAAAGATAGAAATCTCAAAAAGTAAAACTGGATCTTATGGGAAGAAACATCTTATGTTTAGAACATTTCATTAAGATCTCGCAAAAATAAAAGAGATTTCATGATACAAACCACGAATGTGGATTCACATCAATTCCTTGGTGAAAAGCTAGAACATTTCAATTATTCACCGTCAATTCTAAGATTTGTTGGATTCTGGGTTTCACTCAATTTGTGGTGATAACGAATTTAAGATTAGAAACAGAGAGATTGTGTAACCATAAACCTCAGTGGCAGTTTCTGAGAGTCTCAAGGGTTACTAGTGTGAATACGAATGTGATGGTGAAACATTGGAGATGGTTCTGAACAGAAATGTACCTCTGCTATACGAAAGTGACTAAGCAGTCAACTCTTAACTCAATGTGAGAAGAGTAAGGTAGCTCAATGACTTGTGTGAATATTAGCCTGATTGGGAAGAAATTCTTGGTAATATCGATTCATTAAGGCTTCGAACATAGAGTCTCAGAGGCTTCGGACTAGATGCAACAGCATGCTTCTAAGGACACTCAACTAGTGCAAAGATTATGAATTCAATACCTGCCCCATCACTCGTAATTTGAGAGAATCATGATATGTACTGTAATCCTGCTCAATTATCTATTATATTTGATGTCTTAATAAAAATAGAAAATATTTTTGGAATTTTGATTTTTCTGAAAAACAAATAAAAACAAAAACAAATGAAATATTTTTGGATTTTTGAAATTTCTGAAAAAAGAAATAAAAACAGAAACAAATAAAATATTTTTGGATTTTTAAAATTTCTGAAAAAGAAATGAAAACAGAAAAATTAAGTAAGAGGAAACAAACAAAATATACAAAAGTATACAAGAAGTTCTCAACCTCCGAATGAACAGTGGACTGCGAGCCACTACGAGCTTTTGTGGATGAACAGTAGACTACGAATGATCATTTGACTGCAAATCACTACGAGCGTTCGCGGATGAACAGTAGACTACTAACTACTACAAGCGTTTGTGGATGAACAGTAGACTACGAACTACTACGGGCATTCGTGGATGAACAATAGACTACAAACTACTATGAGCGTTCGCACCCATTCGCAGTGTGAACAATACTTTTCCTAGTGCGAAGGTGGTTTCGGAACTGATTCAGCTTCTATCATTCCTAAGCCTAGAAGAATGCGATTAAAGGATTGTTAGGATAAGAATTTTGTAAAGATGTCGGCCAGCTGATCTGCAGATCAAACAAATTGGATTTTGACATTTCCATCTTCCACATGATCTTTTATGAAGTGATACCTGAGTGCAATGTGTTTGGTTTTTGATTGTTGCACTGGGTTGTGACAAATGCGAATAGCATTTTCAGATTCACAGTATAAGGGGATTTGCTTCATGTTAATACCATAGTCATGAAGCTGACTTTGTATCCTGATAATTTGCGAGGTACAAGAGGCTGCTGCAATGTACTCAGCTTCAGCGGTTGAGAGGGAGACGCAAGTTTCCTTTTTCGATTGCCAACTTACGAGTTTTCCATCAAGAAATGGACATCCTCCCATTGTACTTTTTTGATCTAGACAGCAACCTTCGAGATCAGCGTCGGAGAATGGTTGCACAAAGAACCCTGAGCTTGAAGGGTACCAAATATCGAGCGAGGTAATTCGTTTAAGATATCTGAAGATGTTCTTCACAACGGTCATCTGGGGTTCGCGAGGATTTGCTTGAAACCTGACATAATAGCAAACGGAAAACATGATGTCAGGACGAATCGCAGTTAGATACATCAATGAACCTATCATTTGACGATAGAGTGTCATATCAGCAGCTGGTTTGTCCAACGACAGTGCTAGTTTCGTTCTGAATGTCATTGGAACCTTCACCTTCGAATCTCCCACCATTCCATACTTCTCAAGTAAGGTCTTCGTATAAGCCTCGTGGTTGATAAATATTCCCTCCTGACTCTGTCTTATATTCAAACCAAGGAAGAAGTTAATCGGACCCATTGAGCTCATCTCAAACTTAGTCTCCATAAATTTTCGGAACTCAACAGTTAATTTAGGATTAGTAGATCTGAAAATGATATCATCAACGTAGATTTGGATGATCATCATATGGTCACCATCTTTCTTGCGAAAGAAGGTTGGGTCGACCGAGCCTTGTTTAAATTTAGATTGTATTAAGAATCTAGTAAGAGTTTCATACCATGCTCGTGGGGCTTGCTTCAAACCATACACAGCTTTGTCCAGAATCCAGCAGTGGTTCAGATATTTTTTGTTTACGAACCCAGGTGTTTGTTCCACATACACTGTTTCTTTGAGTTCCCCGTTCAGAAAGACACACTTGACGTCCATTTGGTAGACTTCAAAGTGCGTATGAGGAGCATATGCCAGAAAGATGAGAACTGATTCCAACCTTGCAATTGGTGCGAACGTTTCCTGTAAGACCGAGATATGGCCCTCGACATTGTGTGTAAAGACCATGGGGGTAGCCCATGGCACTTACATATTTACTTTTTAGTATGTGATATGATTGGGAAACTCACTAAGACTTTGGTTACAGTTTATATTTATGGTTTCAGGTACTTCTGGAATTGATGGCGCAACATTCACTCCTCACTAGTTTTCCACAATTTGACATTTTACTCTGATGTTTTAACATTATTATTAATGAATAATTTTAGAACAATGTGACGACCGTAAATTATGTGTTTATTTAAAATGAAAAATTTGATCTGGGTTTTTGGGTTGTTACAAAGATGTTTTGTCAACACCATTGGACAAATCTATACGAAACACATTATTCCCTAGGTTATCAACACAAGTCACAGTTTCATACACACAATTACAAGGTAAAGCTTCAAACGTAAAAACACCATTATGATAAGTAGAAATAGAACCAACTTCATGATCAAATGAATATCTAAAATCTTGTCTGAATAGTGCATGAAATGAAATAATGTTTTGCATCATATCTGACGAATAAAAACAATTAATCAAATTAACCCTAACATAACTACTAAGCACAAGCCCATAAGTTCCAATCTTGATAACAGGTTAAGATCACCCATTCCCCATGTTCAGATTGAGCTTCCAATGCTCCACCTCCTCACTTTCGCTAAACCCCTGCAAATCTGAAAAAAATGTGGAAACCACATCGTGTATCAAGGACCTAAGAATGAGAAAGTTATGTGTTATTAACTTGAATTCTTTAAATACCTGAAGAGGACACCTTGATCTTGCCATCCTTCAAGTCTTGTAGGTATTTAGGGAAACTTCTTCTCCATTGACCCTTTTCGCCACAATGGAAGCAAGTGGCCTCCTTTGGATCACTGATCGCAGGGACATCAAAGTTGGCCTTCGATCTGGACCCACTGCTAGACCCTCCAGCATGGGCTTTCCTTTTCCTACCGGATAGGGAAGGAGCCTTCCTCCTTTTTTCCTTTTCCACATCCAATGGCAAGGATAGGAGAATTTGTTGCAATAGAGGCATGAATTTCCTTCATCGCTGATTCAGCAGTTTGCAACAAAATTATGAAGCTATGTCAATGTCTTCTCTGTGTTGTTCAAATTATAGGCAAAAAAGAGTTGAGAATAACAAGGCGGTAATGAGTTAAGGACCATATCAATGGCCAACTCATCAGCAAATGACACAATGAGCTTGTGGAGTTGCACCACGTACCTTTGGATCTTTTGTACGTGAGGGCATACTGATTCTCTTTCCTTAAGCATGTACAACATAAGATTTGGCTACTTTGTAGCGCTCTTGTCTCGCCTTCTTGCAGAAATTTCCAGCAAGGTCAAGAGCCATCTCATACCGCCAATAGTCCTCTGAGAACTTGGCTAGCTCAAGTGCCATAGTGGCCACCATAATGCAAGCAACCTTAGTGGCATCATCAGAGTGTTTGATGTAGGAAACGATTTCCTCAGGAGTAGAAGTGGAATGATCGATTTCGTAAAGAGGCTTTTCGAGGACATATTCTTTGCCCACATATCAAAGATTCATCGTTAAGTTCCTCATCCATTCCATGTAGTTGGGACCAGTGAGATTCTCTTTCGACAAAATCGAGAATAGAGAGAAGTTTAAGTGGGAGGAGCCGGCTTGAGTAGTAGCGAGTTCACCATTTCCAGACATCTATATAAAGAGACAGTTTTTAGTTAGTGATATAAATCCTTAATATTTTAACCTAAAAAAAATATGCAAGGCTAGGATCCAAAATACAATTCACAATGAAGAAGAGGGATGTCGTAATCTAATTGTGAATTAATCAAGGTAGGTAATACAAATTTACCAATTTCAATCTAGCATGAAATTCCTAGATCATATGAGATTCATTAAATCTTACCAATGGCATGTTTAATCTCATACTATGCTCTTCAAATTTATGACTGGGGTGCCGAGGATCACAAATACAATGTGAATAACCATGAAAACCCGCTTGACAACCTCGATGTCATTTATCATCACAAGTTAATGTGTCGGTAAACCACACACACTCCATTAACAATGATAATTTTCGATAG